ATCTAGGGAGGGTATAGGTAGGATATCTATTATTGCGAGCTCGACTTCTTAGCCAATTGCACGAGCTATGGAGGTAATCACTCCTCCAACAATAATAGGCCTCTTTTTAGCAGTGTTAACTGCTTGCATATGGGCCAGCATGAACGGGGCAGAATTTACTCTAGTGGGTGCAAAGACACTATGAATATAAAATAACCCTTTAGCATTTATTTTATTGGTGTTTTCCCGAATGAATATGGTTTGTGCCAATATTTGGAAAAAGTATGTAATAGCTGGTTTGTGAATGTGAGTTGCATTATTCCTCTCAAAAATCCAATACATATTTAACTCTTTTACATCTTTTAGATGTGTAAGAGATTTGACAAAAATATATATAAAATGTGTTATAGCAAAGAAAAGAAACAACTTTTTAAAGACTTGAATTTGTGCAACAAGTTTGTGAATGTCGAATTGAAGTGTGGAAGTGAGACACAAATCTAAAGAACGTCGAGACAGAAAAAAACCATATTTTGAGGGACATTTATAAGACTTTTCCGACATTTATTATACTGATGTGATATCATGGCACGCCTGCTACATAGATGTATGGTTATGTTTTTACACAATTCAAATCACCTGTGCAATTTTACAGCGACTAGACAAAAGCTACAGCCTCTAAGTGTATAGTATTTGGTATAGGAATGACATTTTCACATTCCGAGGCATTTTTATGTGAAAAAATAGATGCTATACAGCGAAGCTTTTTTTTTGCGTTATCTTAACTTTTTAACACAATTTTCTGTAACTTATGATTTACGAAATAGAGGCTGTTCCTTCATTAAGGTTCTTGTTAGAAGACATGATAATATTGATATTCTTAGATTACCTTATAGGAGTAGTCTCTTTTTTATAAGTATCTTAGACTAAATCAGGATATTACTTTTCATATTTATCTTGTTATTATCTTAATTTGTTTCTCATGGTAGGATTTGAGTATTGTATTAACTTAGTACTTGGTTGTTATTAACTTCTTACATAAAAATGGTTATGAGTTATTAAATAAATTGGCTGAATGTTGTGATTTAATGGTTATTTTGTCCATGAATTATATATATTACGTGTTAGGAAATATGGATCGAAAATGGATGTTTGCTAGTCGAGCGTCAAAAGAATACGAAGATGGGGTTCAAGAGTTTGTTAGGTTTGCTATTGCTCATGCCGAAGACACTAGTAAAATCATATGCCCTTGCTTAAAATGTTGTTATACGAATGTTAATGCAAATGTTTTGGAAGATCACTTAATATGTAATGAAATTGATAAAAGTTATACGTGTTGGATAATGCACGGAGAAAAAAAAACCAAGTCAACAAAGAGGAGCAATGGGAGAGATAAATCAAATGATTTTGAACAAGATACAAATTATGAGTTTGATCGAGTTGAAGAATTTGTGAATGTAATTGAAGAAGATCTTCGCGATTGTCCTCAAATGTTTGAGAGGCTAGTAAGTGATGCAGAGACTCCATTGTACGAAGGATGTACTAAAGCAAATTACATGTGCTATAATAGCGCTTTTTTTGAAAGCGCTATCAAATATGTGACTTATAATAGCGGTTTTGTAAAAGCGCTATTAAAGAGAGGTCCTATAATAGCGCTTTTGAAAAAGTGCTATTAATTACCAGAACTATAATAGCGCTTTTAAAGCGCTATTAAAAATTTTGTTTTACAATAGCGCCTTGATTAATAGCGCTATTAAAAAGCAAAAAAAACACTATTAAAAAACTTTTTTGTAGTAGTTCCCACACCTATAATTACAATATATTACTCTAATAAAAATTGTTTCGAAAAGCCATAGAAGCGGAATAAACATAGTCAAATCAAAAGACTCGATCGTACCATGTTGAAAATGTGAATTGATGAGAAAATTCTTAATGAGCAAAAATCTTACTTACATTACTTAGAAAGTGCAACATAAGCTTGAGAGATCTACATGTAGATGAGATAACTCTTGATGCAAACAATGTGGTACGTGGTGTTTTTCTATTCTTATCATGTCATTCAACATATCTAAGAAATTAAATCATTAAAAGAGAAAAAATAGTTTATTTTAATCAAATTATTCCATTGTTTATCAAAAATCCCCCAAGTACTTAATAAATATATTTCAATTTTATGATGAATATGATGAGCAAATATTTTTTTTTTGTGGCTAAACTATATCATTCAACCTTGCTAATTTCACATTAATTACCTTTTTATTTCAACCACATATGTTCCGGTCTTTCTTTTGTGGAAGAGAGACAAGTGTGTTTTGCATGGGTCATTTGGTTCCATAACTACAAAAATGTTTGAGACAATAGCTACTTGGATGATGATATGCCAAAAACAAAAGTTTTGGAAAGGTAAAAATAAACGCATTATGTGAAATGACATCTTTCATATTGCTAAACATTATTGTCATAATAATGTACTACTACAATAGTAAATTGAATTTTAACATATTTTAATAAATTTTAGAATTCGAGTCCTAGTTAAGACGTTTATTAACCTGACTTAAAGGTTACTGAATACAAACTTATATAACATCATTTTATAGTAAAACAGATCAGTTGATAACTGTGCAGAAGTATATACGCGTGTTCGAATCTGTCGCATCCTAAAAAATGAGATGATGTTTGTGAAGACTAACAAGGAATCAAACTTTAATTTGTTGTTAGAAAGGATGATTGTAACAATCAATTTGGTTTATAGTGTTAAGTGACATGATTAATAGAATGAATCTCAAATTTGTTTCATTATAAATATGTTCAAATTAATATAATTTGAAAATCATATAAAAAAAATAATATCCAAGTACTTGTCATACGTACTATATAATAAAGTATAAAATTTTGTTGGACATGAAACGTGAAAGATGAGACTCGTGTATGATGATAACATTCCATGATTGTTGTATATAGTTAGTTGCTTTTGTATAATTATAATAGAAGAAACTTGGTGGATGTGTTATTATTATATTAGCATCCTAGCTGGTTATTTTCATTATGAAATATTTTCTTGTGCCTTAAGGGAAGGTTCAAGGAAAGAGATCACAAGTACATACACACGTTGGTTTATTATTAGACCATCTCTAACGGTGGTTCTTCAAATTAATTTGCCAACTTAGCATTAAAATTGTCAATAAAAAGTTGTTTTAGCTGGTGAACGTTGCTTGCATAAGCAATGACTCTTATTTTTTTTATTAAGTGCTAATAAAATCTCTAATATCATTCATTTAAGTTTCAAATAATAGTCTCTTCATAAAGTTTAGGAGAGCCAAAAGAGCAATGATTATGGAAATAAGCACACAATGCACCCACTAATTCTCTCTCTATAGACCCCACAATTATAGACACACGTAGAGAGGACACGTACAAATTTGACCATTGATGGAAGTAAACAAACATCAGTGTCTTGTTATTTCTTTTGCACTGTTAATTTAGTGTGCCTTCTATTAGTGACAAAATCAATGGTAGATTAGTACTAATCTCGGTTTTCTAATTTGTCATCAACTGATTTATTATTCGAGTTATTAGAGTTTGACCTAACACAACCTTACAAAATCAACTGGTAAAGTGAAGAGTGTCACTCTATATAAACTATTTTAATATTTTATTTTTAATTAATGTGAGACTTTAGAATCTTCCTAATTCGAGTTTAAGTGTTTTTGGTTGATGTTGATATATAATTGATTAAAAATAAGCAAAAGTTGAAGAGCATTAGAATCCAGAAAAAATTAAGTGTCCTAAAGCCCAAATTTTAGTTCTGTAGCCGCAATACTTGACTCTAGAAACAGGAACATAATTGCAGTGTTTCACAACACCTAATGTTTTTTTTTTGAAGTGCTCAATATGCTCCTAAGCTCATAAACCTCTCATTTCACATTCCTAATAAAGACCTAAACCATAAAGGCTACCCTACCTTAATTACTTTTTTTTACTCAATATTTGTATCTACATAGTTTTTTAATTTATTTTTCTTTTCTTTTTAAATTTTGAATTTTAATATAAAATATTATACACCGTCAATGTAAAAAGTTTTACAATATTAATACATCATTATCATTCGTTGATATTAATTTTTAATAGTTAAAATAAAAGTTAAATATTCTGCATATCAATTAATTTTTTTAATATAATATTAATTACCAATTTTAATATGAGTTTTTTTATAATCCTAATGAGCATAATATTATAAAATTATCTTGTATTACCAACATACCCTTGTTTAAACATATCAATCTACATTCAAAACATTGATGTATAAAGGAGAAGAGATATCTTGTTTGCTAGATCAAAACATCCAAAACCCAAGAGCAAAAAACAAAGTATGTATGGTATGTTAGGATCAAAATCTACTTTCATGGTCCTACAAAACAATACATTTTTCCTTCTTTTCTTATATAAAGAAAAAGTAAGGATCTAATGTCAATTCATATAGGATGAAGGAAAATTTTAAAACAATTTAAATTCAATAATCAAAATATAAATTAATTTTTGTATAACTAAAATTTTCAGAATCAGTTGATAGTTGTGTAGAAACATCTATCTAACCACAATATATCTGCGACATCTGACATATTTATTCACACGATTAAATTCCAACACTAAACTATTTGAAAAAGAAGAAAAAAAATTCCACATCATTTTTTTACAGCCTGGCCAACTCAACTTCCATAACCCTCTCCCAACCCTTATAAGAACATCCAAAAGAAACCACTCTCCAACTCTCTCACTCTCTCTCTCTCTCTCATCATCCTTTGTTTTCTCTTCTCCTCTTAGGCGTGGAATTTGGCTTTCATTACTGTCTCAAAATCATTTCTTTTCTTGTACTATTTCAAGCAGACAACAAAGTCTAAGTAATTGATACCATTCACAATCCTCTGTTTTTCCCTCTGTTTTTTGTTCTGTTTCCTCTGTTTTTTGTCTCCTTTGTTCTCTCTCATCTTCATACCCACTTTCCTCATATAAAAAGAGATCACACAATGGAGAAATGGAATAAACCTTCAAGAGATCATAGAAAACAACACCAAAGAGAAAACCCATCTTTCTCTTCAACTCTTTTAGACGTAATCTATCGCTCGATCGACGAAGGTCATCACAAAACAGAGGAAAAACAAGAGAAACTCATCTTCTACAAAGAATCATCAACAACCATGAGGAAGATGAAGAGTGTTGTTGAAGCTGAAAAATCAAACTTTAGAAAAACAAGAAAAGTTGAGAATTTGAATGGAAGAAACTCTTTAACAGAATATGAAAGAACAACAAGAAGCAATTCAAACACACTCTCCATGCATTCAAGTTCATCATCCTCAGAATCAAGTTCTGCTGGTGGATTTTCTTCATCAGATTCAGAATCTTTCTATGGTTTACATAAACCAAAACCTATTAGAACAAGCGTTTCTGAAAAACCAAACATTGATTCACTTAATCATAGCCATAACCATAACCATTTTGTTCAAACTCAAAATCCCAAAAATGAAAACAGTTTTGGAAAAACAAAGTCCAAAGCTTTAAGAATTCTATACGGTGATTTGAAGAAATCAAAGCAACCCATTTCACCTGGTGCTAGACTCGCAAGCTTTTTGAATTCACTTTTCACTTCTAGTGGAAATACCAAGAAATCAAAAGTATCATCATCAGCTACGAAAATAGCTACAAACTCTGTTTTGGAAGCAAAATCAGCACAAGCTTCAACATGTTCATCAGTTTCATCTTTTTCAAGGTCTTGTTTGAGTAAAACTCCTTCATCAAGATCAGGTACTAAAAGATCAGTTAGATTTTGTCCAGTTAGTGTTATTGTTGATGAAGATTGTAAACCTTGTGGACACAAGAATTTGCATGAAGGTGAAAAGGGTTTGGTAGCTAATTCAATGTATGATGGAAAAAATACTAGTGAAGAATTGAGGTTGCATGTGATACAAGAAAGTAGAAGGGTTCAAGAGTTAGCTAGAGATTTGTTGAAGAATTATCAGAAAAAAAATGAAGTTGATTTTGATATGAAATTTGAAGATGATGATGATGATGGAGCTAGTTGTTCAAGTTCTGATTTATTTGAATTGGATAATTTATCAGTGATTGGGATTGAGAGGTATAGAGAAGAATTACCAGTGTATGAAACTACTCATTTCAATCCCAATAGAGTTATTTCAAATGGGTTTCTTATGTAATTTTGAGAAAATGTGGGGGTTTAATTTTAATTTTAGAGAATTTAATGGTGTGGGGGTTTACATATAATAAGATTTCTCTTTTTTCTTTTAGTTTTTAATTTGATGTTGTTGGTTTATTAGTTTTATTTTAATCTAACTACCTTTTCTTTTTCTAATATATTAGTATGTTTCTTCTTTTATTGTTGTTGTTGGTTGTTTCTATAGCACTTTTATGGGTCTTTTAATACTTGCTTCTATGGTTCAAGTGTTTGATTCATGCAAAATCATTAAAGAAAAGAGGGGGAGAGAGAATTAGATCTTTTGCTCTTGAATTAAGGTTGGAAGGCTTCCATTTCAAATTTTCTTTTAAAATTTAAAATTTAATTAATTAATGTTTAAAAAGTAGTTGAATTAAGGTATGATAAAAGTGTTTGAATCAGTCGCTTAACCTATTATTTTGTTCCGTTTGCGTGTCTGTGTGTATGTATGTTTTAGTAGGGTGAATTTAAATTTGAGTATGCAAAACTCAAATATAAGGGCAAGTTTGTAAGATATTATGAAGAATTGAGGACTTTGTAATAGAAATGGTGGAAAAGAAAAAATGTATGAAAGAGTGTGAAGAAGATGAAAATGAAAATGAAAGCAAAGGCATAATTTCTACACTTGTTCATGGCAATAGAAAAGAGAACAATTATGTAGGGCCATATTTATTTGCTTGAAATTAACACTATCTTCTTCATGCATCACATATGAATGGTAGCAATAGTCAAAAAGTAGATATGTTAATCAAATTAGATTCCTTTTCTTATTCTTTTGAATTTAGAAAAATTATTTTACTTGATAGTCTCAAATTTAATTTCTTTTTTAGTAGTAAAATTATTACTCGGTGGAGAATTTTAGAGGCAATCCAAAAAGAGGTCAAATGATGGGTTTAATGGAAAAAAAGGTTTAGAGATATAAGACATGGTCTCCAAAGATGTGGACAAAATATCTCTTCATGGATTCTCTAAAGCCTTCATGTCAAATTGGTTGTCTTCAACTCAAGAGTTTCTCCCTAAATTATTTTAAAGAATTATACAATATGACAAAATTTAGATACATTTTCTTATGTAATTTTAATGTTCTTCATTTTCTTTTGTTATAGGACTAATATATTTTGGCAAAAAAAAAGTATTTCATCTGATTTTTATTATAATATTTTTTAAAAATTTATTGAATATCAATTTATTTGATCTACATATAAATTGAACATATTAATTATTTAATAAACTTAAAACATAATTTTTTTTTTATAATTAGAATAGGAGAAAGTATATATTTAAAGAATCATGATAATTATGTTTTGTCTTATACAATATATTAATATTATCTTCAACTTTAGATCAATAAATGATTTTTAATTCAAATTAAATTTAAAAAGTATAATATAATATTATTATTAATATTATTTTTAAAATTAATAATTTATAAATATTAATAACTTATTTATATTAATACCTAAATATAAATAAATATTTCTGCCGCACTTTAAACTTTTTACTAATAACTTACACTCATTTAAATAAAATAGTACATACTAATTAATTCAGGTAGTCCATTTACTTAAATATTAACTTTAATTTTAGATTATTTAGAAATTTTCAATTCGAATCAAATCTTAAAAATAAATATACTAATATTATCTTCAATTTTAGATGGATCTAAAATTCTCAATTCGAATCAAATCTTAAAAGTTCTCCCTTAAACTTTTGAAAGAAAATTTTATTGTTTATTATAATATTTTTTACTCAAATAATTAAAATCTATCTCTCACTCTTACTCTCTCTCTCTCTATATATATATATTAAAAAAATTGGTTCATTATTGTAATAACCCCTTTTCCTATATTTTTCTTTTGCTTCATTGATGTTTTGTCCTACCTTTTTTTATAATAACCCTCTTTAATAAAATTATAATTCAAGCCAAATTTAATATTTCCCCTTTAAATGTTTTATGTTCTTGGATCTATAGTTTCTATAACAAAAGGCTCTCTATATATCTTATTCATACTATGAGGGGTAAGAAAATTAAAACAACTTTATATTGGGATTCTCACATTATCTCGAATCTAATAAAGTTAAGTAAAAAAGCAAAACATTAACGTTTGATTCAAAGTCCAAAATTCTCATTTACTTTTCTTTTTGTTTATTTGTCTCCATTTTTTTTGTATAAAAAATCAAACACTTATTACATTCTTCTCTTCCTTTAATATTCTTCAAATTAATTACTAAATCATAACAGTGTAATATAATAGTAGTAATTAAGTTTAATATTAGTTTTTAGAATAAAAGTATGAAGTTTGAAAGTGTTGGATTGTAGGAAAAGAAAAGGCTAATCTATGCTATAAGCTATGCTAGAAAGTGTGATATAGGTGAAGGGTGTATTTGTAGGGAGTGGTCCATGTGAATAATGTGATGCCCTAACTACAATTGATAGTAACATTAAAAAATTGATTAGTGAAGAGAAATTGGCATGCAACTATGTGTAATTATTGGTTAAGAAAAGGGGTTTGTAATCTAATAAAAATGATTTGGTAGCTTCAAAAATAAACACAAATTAAAGACTACTAGTTTTCATATGGTTGGTGAAGTGGGGAAGTAATACAATGATGGGTGTGAAACTACCTACTCTTAGGGTTGACGATTCCTTGGATTCCAATTATTTTTAATAATTACTATCACTCTCCTTTTCTGTTAAAAAGTTTTACTTTACTTATTGTTATGTATATATAATCTTCAATTAAAGCGATGACAAAATTTTAAAATAATAAATATTAAGTAAAAATGTTTTATATTTATTTATATAAGACCTCCACTTGGTGATTTGTGTTTTTTGTTTTTGTCACTTTCACGCTAGTGCTGCTGGTCAAGCTATTCGAAGGAGATGCATCTAAGTCTTCTATTGTGTTGTTCTAGAATATTTTTACTGAAAGTCAATGAGCCACTACTCTGAAGGAGAAAGTGGATTTGATTGAAAAGGGACTTATGAAAGTCTTTCTTGATGGAGGAAATCGATTATTACCAAAGGTGATGATGAATAAGAAGCTTATAAAAAAAAAAGTGGAATCCTCGGAAGGAGGTGCTAGTTATTAAACTCTTTGGAAAGAATGTGAGCTATCATTTGATGAAGGATAGGTTGAAGAAGACGTGGAAGTCTATTGAAAGTTTGAGATCATGGACGTTGATAATGGTTTCTTTATGGTTAAGTGCGGACTGCTCGTAGATAGGGAGGAAATTGTGTCAAAAGGCCATGGATGTTGTTTGACCATTATTTGGTAGTGGCCCGATGAGCTCCAGGCTTTGCATCTCCTCTCGCAAAGGTGGAGAAGACTATGGTTATATTCGATTTCTAGAGCTTAACTTATTGTATTATGATGAAAGTGTCCTTCTTAGTTTGACATATGCTGTGAGTACTCCTATTATGGTAGATACTAACTCCTTGAATATAAAGGGAATGATTTGCAAGAATTTGCATGGAGATTGATCTGACCTTGCCAGTTGTTAGAAAGGTCATTGTTAATGGTTACTAGTACAACATGTAATATGAAGGTCTTCACATTATTTGCTCTTGTTGTGGATGTTATGTACATCACACCCGTGATTGTAAAAAAACATTAGACCAAATAACGTAGTCGGTCGTTCATATGATGGCGCAACTAAGAGGTCCGTCGGAAAATGATGATGTCCATTAGCAAAGAATAACGAAATTGCATCAATAATTGGGCAATGATAGTACTAAAATTATAGCAAAAGAATATGTAAAAAAAATTCAGTTCGTGGTAATTGGCTGGTGGTGCAGAGGAAAAAATGCAACATAAGAGTTAGTTATAGTCAAGGAAAGTCTTTATATAATAATGCGCCTAGAGTTCTGGGGAACTCTAAAATTAAGGGGATTGACATTTCCTTAAAAGGAATAAGCGTTGACAACAAAATTATTGGACCTAGTCAACTTGACGTGGTTTCCAAGAAACAATAATTTGATGAGAGTGGAACCATCCTAGACACGCGTCTACCAACACACAGAGGGGACCATACGCTAAGGTCAATTATGCCTTTATGGAACCACATCTTACTCTTAATGGGTGTTCGCACAAAACCAGGCCAACTTTTAATTCCCGCCTACCACAAAAGGGTGTGCCTATTACTCCTAAACACACCTTCATCGTCCCCATAGTAAATTTGGGTTTAAAGACCATCACACGATACAACAATCCACATTTTGAATCGAAAGCAAGTCAAGCAAATAAAAATAACCAATGCACTATGAAAGATGGGGTAGTCAAGAAAAATAAGTTGTTCGCGAAACTCCTATTGAATGAGAGATGGCCATGTAAGTTGTCTCATGTTTAGGACTTTCTTTGTCACCTCCATCAATTTGACTAGTTATGTTAAGTTTCAAACAAGTCATTGTGCTCTCTTGGAATATTTGGGAAACCTATAATAATAAGTCTAAAAGACACATGATGGAATTGATTTGAAAACACTCTCTAACATTTCTAATAGTTATGGAAACACACAATGGTTTTTAGAAGACCATGTATTTTTAGGATATAAATGGATATGTGAGTGTTTACTACGTGGACGCGCGTGGTCAACTTGGGGGCATTTGGGTGTTAAAGCAAAATGGTAGTAACATTGTAACTGTCGTGCATGGTGTCTTTATAGATATAATTATTATCAAGCTATCATTGGGAACTTCCTATTGGTATTTAACTAGAATTTATGCTATTCCTGTGTACACTTCTTGTCTTGACATGTGGCTCCATCTCATTGACCAGAGGAGCATTACTGATGGTCCTTGGATGTTGATGGGAGACTTTAATTACATCATTCATCTGAGTGAACAAAAAGGTGGTAATTTTAATCATTCTAACGCAGCTACTTTGTTGAATGTCAATAATAAATGTACTTTAGTTAAAAGTAGATATAACTGGTGGAAAATTTAGTTGGAATATGCCTTATACTTATAATCAAATGGTCTAT